TGAAGGTTGCTCCTTTTGGGCTTCCCCCTTCTTCTCTGCCTTCTTCTTGTCGTTCTTGTCTTTCCCTTCCTTTGTCTTGGCTGGTGCTGCTTGGGACTTAGTTGTGGATTGCGTGTACACCTGATCGATCGACACGACATTTTCATCTAGCTGATGAATCTCGATGATTTCCCCGAGCTTCGCGCAAAGCCAAGGCCATGTCCTTTTACTGCTGTTTGGACTGGCGTTCCTGAAACGGTCGATCACCAAAGCCATTTTCGGATGTCCTTTCAATTGCTCGAAAAGGGTGCTCCTAATAGCTTGGTCACTCGGTCTCTCAGAAACTTCCAAGGCCTGGTACACGAAGTCGAATCGCTGACGGAAATCTTCGAGTGCCTTATTGTCGGTGCCGCTCATCTTGAGTCCTAAAAGATGGGTTTGAGTCAAGGCAATTCCTCTATCCTTCTCCATCTTAAACCTCTCAAAGATGACCCACAACAACTTTCCCTTTTTTGGCTGCTTGAAAACTCGTTGCTCTTGCTCCTGAATGGATTGGAAGAGCATTGCAAACTTGGTGTTCTTCGACAGCTCGAGCAGTTTTGAACTCAGCACTCGATCAAGAATTGGGAACGGAAGGCTCGACTCGAGATCGGCTTTGGGATTAGTGCTTTCGGCGATCCAGCTATGGACTAAGGATTCATCACCCTTTGCAAGCCTACACACAAGGTTGAAAACCGAGTTCCTGAATAGGCGAGCGTCTGCCGCAGTTTTGGGCAGCTGAGGCAACTTCATCTCATCATATGCCTTCACACGCATGAGTTTCTTTTCTCTCGAGTAGGCATCGATTGCCCCATCAATTTGGGCCATTCCCTGATTTCCTTGAGAGGGAATTGAGGGGCCCTGAGGAGGTCTTTGCGAGCCTCCTGGCGAACCCCCTGGCCTCCCGCCGCCTCCACCCTTGTTGGATTTGCTTGACGAGCTATCCGAGTGATCTGGCGACCCAGGATTGGAATCATGCTGTGAAACATTCTGTGATCCACCCCTTGACTCTCCTCCCACAGACCCTATGTTGAAAATCTGAAGGACTTGCCCTGTTCCTGCCTGATGAATTTGCGGCACAGGTTGAGCGGCGGCAGTCTGGGATGCAAATAGCTCAAAGGCTGATGTGAGTTGATCCAAACGCCTTTCTAATGCACTTAATCCCGGGTTCGGTGCAACTGGAGAAGCATGCCCAAACATGTTTCTCACAACCCCTGATAAGTCCTGTGATGAAACATTGCGTGCACTGATTCCGGTGCCCTGAAGCATCACGGGGCTTGCCTGATGTGAACCGGTGCCATGCACTATCAGTTGAGGGTTTCCGGTGCCCTGCGGCATCACGGACCCGTCCTGCACTGGCTGGCTGGTGCCCGAAGGCATCACAGCAGGCTGCCCACTCGCCTGCAGTGGCGGATTATCCGCGCCATTATGGATGCATGCCAATTCCCTTTTTAAGGATTGATTTTCGGCTTCTAGAGAATTCAACCTTTGCTCCATTGCTAGCAGCCGGTCTGCCAACTGTTGCGTTGCTTCGGCCTCCCTAAGCTGGTGTTCCCTAATTTGGTCACTTGTGCCATGCTGGGTCCTCGTCAAGGCTTCTTGGAGTGCCTGAACCTGTGCATTTGCTTGTGATTCCAAATAAAGGACTCGCTCCTGGGCTTGTCTCAATTGGTCCCCCGATTCATGCTTGGTCCTTTCAAGTGATTCCTGAAGGGCGTGAACTTGATTGAAGGATTGGCTTTCCAATTGATTTACCCTATCCCTAGCCTCGGCCATTAAGCATTGAGCTTGGGCTTCAGTGACAATCACCCTTCTATCATTCTCTCTCAAATGCGCTTCAGCTCTTTCGACCAGTTGTTGATCCAAAGATTGAACAACCATGGTTGGCTGGTACACTTGGGCGTGATGAGCCTGAGCGTGCATTTCAACATTTGGTGAGAAGTGATGATGCTGCTGCAACTGAGCACTTTGCATGTTGATCCTGCTACCCATCGGTTGGGATGATGCCGTGGACATGCTAGTATCTTCATTGCTATTACTGGAGTCTGCGACCTGCGGGGGTGAAAACATCGGTACAGATCCCTGAGCAGCTGGAACTATTTCTGACGGCTCCATTGCTACTTGAAATTGGTCGGACAGGAAAAGCTACTGACGCAATGCCTGCTTGCACCTTGTGGCGCACTCCGGTCAATGGGCCACACAATCCTCAAGAAATCCGACTGGCCTGAACAAATTGTTGGCCGGTGGCTTCCTGCGAAGCTTGATGTGGATGCCCGAGATTTTGTCCTGTACCTGGCGATCGATGATGCTGTTGATGACCTCGTCACTGTCGTCAACGATGAATGCCGAACGGAACCCAACTGACAGCGGATCTTGGGGGACTAGCACCTTCCCTCCCTTTCGGGTCCTGGAGTTGTACCTGGCCCTTTCAGAAGTTGTAATGATGAAGTCCAAAACAGACGAAATATCCGGAGTGCGATCGAACGCAGCAACCAATGCGTCTCGCCGTTCTTGGCTATGGAGGTAGGATAAGCAGATTGTCACTACGTGGATACCTTCGCGAAAGAAAGCGGCTTTCAGCTGTCTAATCGCTTCGAGGTTGTCGTGGCAAATACCTTCGTAATCCCACTCTGTGCGTCCGCAACGGGCTCTGTCAAGAACCTGGTGATAGTCGATTGCAATTACACAACTGTCCCGAAAGTCAATGCCGTAGCGCGGCTCGTAGACAAAGGACAAGCCTTGATCTTCCCAAATGCCGTTTGCACACTTGTATACTCCTGTGGCAAGAGCCAAATCGCAAATCACCGCAGCGAAGTGATGCCCGGAAGGCTCAGCGCGCCGCGGCGTACGTGAAGTGCCCTCTGGCCTCGACGCAGCTTTGCTGGTCGCCTGGAGCAATCTGTGCTGCACAGGCTCCGCAGATGACGATGCAGGCTCTTCGGCTCGGAGCGACTCGCGCTGCACAAGCCTAAGAGGAGCAGTTCGATCCGCTGCCTTAACAACCCGAAAAGACACCCGATGATTCTGGGGCTCCTCAGTTAGACGCTGTTGCTGGTCCAAAGAGGCCTGTTCGTAGAGCTGTAGCTGTTCCCAGTTGACTTTTGCACGTGCAAGTCTGTCCCAGGTGCTATCCAGCACAAATGGCGGTTCGTTTGATAAAACCCCCTCGGCCAATCCGTCACGTAGTACACCAAGTTTCTGTGATTTGCCTCTTCGTCCGGCTCGATGCCAACCGAGGAGGTTCCACAGTTCCGGTGCAACCCCCGGATGCTCGACGCCCTCACCCGCCGTAGCTATCGGTCGCAGCTCAAAAGCTACGGCTGATAACCAGACGAAATACGAATCAAGACAAGTCAAATAAAGAGTGTACCCAAAAGTGCTATGGCGACACCGGAAGCTTCACTCGCACAACCTGCTTTTTGTCTTGAGCCAAAGCATTCAAGTCATCCAAGGCGAACTGAATGTTTGTTATCAGCGTCAACCCTGGAAACCTGATTCAAAGGGCAGTTCAAGCAAACATGAATTCCGGTGGCAAGGTTGAATTAGACATGCATGCACCACCTACCATCAGGAAAATGTGGATTCCAGCAGGAGGCATTCTTCTGGTCTGCCCCAAAAAAAGGTACCCCTTAAGGGCTGCTCAGTTGAGCTCCTAAGGTCCAACCCCGGCTCGTCGCCTGCATGGGTTCCATCAGCTCAACCTGCGCTCTGAAGAGTTGCAGAGTTCATTGGCTCAAATGGCTTGGTTTTGGGAACTCTCAAAATCGTGGGTTTTCCTTTTGGCTTCCCCTCAAACCAACCCCCAAAAGGACACCCACAAAAAAACAGACCCATGTTGATCCCCTGTTCAAACAAACAACTTGCCAGTTCTTCATCAAGGGTCATATTTACCTGAACGTTTCATGAAATGCTTTCCTTTTTGGGGCACGATCATGTTCTAAATGGCCAAGTGGTACCTTCAGGAGCCGGTTGGATTCCCTTCTCCTTCGGGCTTGCTCGTGTGACTGCTGATGGTTAAATCAAGGATCCGAAGAAATATATGCTTCGCTTCATTCAAGTGCTATGCAACGCTCTCATCTTTGGTTCGACTTCAGAATTTATCACCAAGGTGTCCAAGCCACACCTGGCGCTCAAGGCACCACCAAAACCGCAAGCTTGGGAGGAATCCCAGCCTTTGCCATGGACACTAGGCGTTCGGATCAGTTGCCCTGGATGGGATCTGGAAACAAAAGGTGACGCCCATGAGGGAACAAGACTAAAAATGGGTACCAGATCAGGGAGACCGAAGGATAGATCAGGTCGATTCGCTTCGGGCCCCGAACGGTTGGCGTGATTCCTTGACTCAGCCCTGGGTGACATCCCAATGGAAGCTGTCAAAATCACACCAAAGGATGCTGAAGAGGCTTCAAAACTGGACCCCTTCAAAATAAGCCCCATGCAACCGTGAGGATCCCCTCAAAGAAAGCAATGCCCATGAAACAGGGCTCCACTGATTCAGCCAGGACTGCATCAATCAGTGGTCAGTCTAGAACGTGATCAACATGACAGTTGTAGCAAACATCGGCATGACAAATCAATGATTCGGCAAGACTTCTCTTTGACCACGACTAAATCAAGGGCCAGAATATCAATACAAGAAGGGTATGACTATCACTCAAGGAGGGCATGGAACAAGTATCCCTACACAAAGGACCGGAATCTCACAGGAGAGGATCGGAATATCAACAATGCGGGAATAGGGCAGCGGGAAAGGCGGGAACATGGCTACAGGCCAAACAATTCCTACAAGAAGGGTAGGAATACTGAAAAAGCGATGCCAGTTTATCAGTGCCCCGCTTTCCTCCCAAGTCCCCCGTCACCTGCTCAGACATCGGTCTTGCAACTGTGCCGTCGTCGAAGGGAGCGCCGTTGTACTCGGTCAGTGTTGCGCCTTCCAGTCGCAACGCATTGGTCATGACATGGCAGCCAGATATTGCTATGATGCTTTTCTTGCATTTGAAAAACTGAGAAGCTCTCGCCAGCCAGTGGCCCTCCCATGGTTTCAGGCCGCCCATTTTCTTCCTCCGCGAGCTACATGCACGAGCTACATGTAGGGATCAGCAGCGGCTTCCTGCGCAGCCAAGCGGTAAGAGAAGCCAAGGGCCGCTTGGGTGCTGTGGCAACCGAAGCGGTAAGAACGATTTGTTACCATATAGGTGTCCTTTTAGGGGAAATAGATGGATATCCCTGGTAGATGATTGAACCACCAGGTAAACCAGGAATCGCCATCTATGTTTCTACCCCAAACAGCCAAAAAGGACCCCTATGCTTGCTACCGCTTTGCACACTTGCACATTGCTGTCATACTTGGCGCAAGAAACACAGGTTGGGTGCATTGACTCAGTTGCCCAAAGGACCCAGAAATACAAGGTTAACCTTTTGGGGCCATGACTGAAAATGGACCAGAATCGGACAACCAAAAGGTTAAAAGGTCGGCTTTGGGCAACTGAGTTGAGCAATAGGAAGGAACCGATCCAACCGAAATCCCTACGGAAGCCGCCGGCTACGCCGGCTACGCCCAAGTCCTCCGATGTGTCGCTCTCCCCGTCTGCTCGACGGCCCTGGCGAATTTTTTCTGGTGCCAAGTTCCAGCCATGCCCAGTGCATGCTCTGGTGCAACAAAGCTCGGAATTTCTCCGTTGGGAACATTCTTCCAGGTGTTCGTGCGTCGGCAAACATAGGCGTTTTTGACTTCTCCTCGGAAACAAGAAGCAAGGCATGCTTTCGTGGGGCATCCCGTTGGAATTCTGGCTCGCCAGGTTTCCTAGCCATGAAGTCGGAACATGATTTGGCCAAGATCGGAGCTGCCATCAGTTGCTTCACTTTTAGCCATGAATGAACTCTCTCTCTCTCTCTCTCTCTCTCTCTCTCTCTCTCTCTCTCTCTCTCTCTGGCGGCACTCCGAGGTGAAAACTCCATGGCCGAGCGGGAAGCCGATTCGACACGGTCTCTGAATGAACCAACATGTATCCGGATGAGTAATCATCTCCCTCTTTCCTCGGGCATGACAGCGACCTGCAGAGCCCATCAACCAGATTCAAACCTCTTGCACCTGGAGGGTACCCGGAAGATCAGGACTCCTCTGAAAGGTAAAAGCATAGGGGTGGTACATTTTTTCTGGAGGAACATCGCCCCAAAAGGAAACTCACTAAAATCTGGGCTGTCCTCAGATCCCCTGCTAAAAAAGTGACTAACTTGTGGGGTAAATTCGGAAAGCACCACTAGACAAGCTAAAAAGCTAGAAGCCTAACTGGACAGTTGGGAAACAAAGCTGGAAACCTGTTCCGCGCGTTGTGGGGGTATTTCTATAGGTGGCCTTTTAGACAAAAATGAGAAACAAAAACGTGTGCTTCCCTGGTAAGCGGCATACACCCCATCCAAACCAGTGGAACCCAGCGATGGTTTTAACCAAAGCGATGACTTCTCGCCCCTGCAACGCCTCTTCCGTCCGACTTCCCGGCCTGGCCCTGGAGCTCCAGAGCGCGGTCCACTTCCTAACACAAGCCCAGGTGATATCCAAAAACCGCCCTGGTGCCTCTCCAGCATTTGCTTTCGCCTCCTTGGAAGACATCGACTTTTTTTTTTTTTCAAGAGCGATGGAAACTCGCTGGAACCAACCGAATCTCTGTTTTTGAAGTCCGCTCCAAACCATCAACCTCATCGCGTATCTGGGAGTTGAGACCAAATCCATAGCTACATCAGCTGTCAGGCCAAAAACGAACACAGCTCGCATCTTTCCGCCACAGGCCATGGCTTCCTTCAAGGAAACAAAACATCGCCGGGCCTCTGGGCTGCCAGAGGACGCATCCGGTCGACTGTCCTGAGGCATTGTGCCATGGATGGGCAAATGGCACCGTTGTCCTCTTGTCGGCCAGGGTGAAAAAAGGCGAAGTTCTGCTTCAACTAATTCCAACCCAGTACTCCTACGTCCTCCAGTAGAGAGGTTAGAGTAAGTTGGTACCAACTTTTGCGTTTTTGTCTATTTTAGTAGGGGAACCCTCCCCAAAAAAAGGGTAAAAGGGGAATACTGGGAGATTTGGAATTTGTTCACCCCAACTACAAATACCCCCTTCAAAATATTGCCTGGAGGCCAAAACATGTTCCTACCAGGATCCATCTCTTTGTGCCAGGGGATGTCACTGCAATCCTTGGGTCAGATGTGTCCGCGGCAAGCATCCTGCTGCTCAAACAATCTGTTTTGATACACATGAGTTGGTTTAAACGTGGAAGAACATCTGCGTTATGTTCCACAGTTGCTTTAGTGTGGATGCGCTTTGTCTAATACAGTACTGGAAAAGTCTAGAGCTGCTTGCAACATTTCCGCTTATACAGTTGCAGCCAGGGTCTATGGGAAATCCTGGAGTTTAAACTTGGTTGGTACCAAAGCCAACCTTGAATCCACAACTCGGCAGTCGTGTCCAAATTGCACCCGCACTCCGAGAACATGTACAAGAATTCCAGCCCTTTTATTGCGGCTTCCCCCTACTAATACACGCCGCAAAAGCTACTTGACCGCGCTGGAACGAGCATTTTTTACTGGGTATTTATCATGGCCTTGCAACTAGTTCAAGTACGCAGGGGATCAAAACTTGGTTGCTTTCTGCTCCTCTGCTAAAAGTTTAACTTTTAGTGGTTTCATGGAAAACGCATTAGTTGTCAAAACTTTAAAGTCCTAACATCCAAGCAAAACGCAACAAAGAAAACGCATCCAAACGACCCCGACAAAAGACTTCCAAGTGCGGCTCCGTCCGCTCCGTCCGCTCCGACGGCTTTTCCCCTGCCTCTTGAGCTGCCTCAGTGTAGTCCTGGGAATTTTGCCCAGCGACGTGTCGAAGGGGGAAGGAAGCGTGTAAAGTTGGTATGTGTTAAAATGGCTGGAGTCAAACATAGGGTAACCCCAAAATGGATCCCAGGTAAATGGAAACATGGACCAAAACTTGGTGGTGGTTTCATGTTGACCCAGCTCCTCCAGTAGCGAGGTTAGAATAATGGTTCCAACTCTTCTCTGTTTTGCAATTTTTAGTAGGGGAACCCTCCCCCGAAAAAGGGTACTGGGGGACCTAGTTGAAATGGCTGTGCGAGCCAAAAAATGTCAAGCGTAGGGTAATTCAAAATGGAACCCTGGTGATTTGAAATATGGAAACACCTGCGGTCCTCTGGTGGATTGATTTTGACCCATACCCAAATAGCGGGACCCCAAACATCCTGTACTTTTGGCCTTCCTTAAGACCAAGGTGCCACAAGATGAACAAGCGAAAAGCAAGAGTCGGACTTGATTACAGGCAGATCAAGTTCTCTCTCTTTCAGAGTGGATATTTGATAATATTTGTACAAAAGCTTCCCTCAAGCGCCTAAACTCCATTTACAAGTCTGCCTCAGAATGCTGCCTTGCATTGAAGTTGAGGGTACTTCGCGGACATTCTTCTCAATGGTTGTAAGGTATTCTATTGCTGGCCAGCTGCTGTGTTGACATGCCCGGCACCTAAAGCAAGTTTGGGTGCTAGTACCTTGAATGCACTGTTTGGGGTGCAAAAGAGTGCTTCAAAGGTTGGCTTTCTGGTTCTCAAGCGCCGCAAGCGCAGGGCCGCACAATTTGTGGGCACATCAGGAAAAAAAGACCCCGAGTAAGGTTCATCATTATCCCACCACCGGCCTATTTGGGACCGGTGTAGCATTTCCAGGGGGGAATGCGCTCCAAAAGGTGACCATCAAACCTACATTAGGTTCTGATGTCCGGAAGGTCGGTTCATGTCCAATGACATTGCATGCCTGGACCTTCAAAATGCCCTGAAACATGGGTTGACTGGCGTATCGGTCTTGTTCTCTTTTCCAAGGGCAGTTGGTCGGGTCCAGGTACCAGGTACTCATCAGGTGTTCAGTTGCCCTAAATTTCAGGGGGTCCCCGCAAAAAAGTCCCAGCCCCCCCTCCCTGAAACTAATACAACTTGAAGAGTGCGCCTCTCAGCAAATGGTCCGTAGACAGCCCAAATGCCGAAGAAAGCGCTGACGCCAACGCTCTCCATTCCAAAAGTATCCAGCTTCCCGGAGCTCATGTCCAAGCATGTCTGTTGCTTCAGTGCCCACAATGAAACCCTTAAGTGGGTAGCACCTCAGGCCCGCTGATTTGAGCCGACTTGAGTTCAGGGGCCTCTACACAAAAGCTCAATCTTGGTGCTTGGCCCCCATCAAAATCTCAAAAGGAAGCTCCGGCAATACTAAATCAAATGGAAACTCAATTCTAAACTCAAAAGGAAGCTCCAGCAATACTGAATCAAATGGACAGTCAAAAAGGGCAAAACCATGGCAATACTAACTGAATCGACCTGGGCATTCTGGGACCTTCCTTTCTCGGGCGGGGGGGGGGGACAAATCCCAGGTGGACGTTCAAATGCAGGATTGCCTTCTGAAAAGGGAAATTCAATCAACTGCGTTCCCATTTGAGGTAGACCCGCAGGAAATTCTGCAGGAAAGCCAAGTCAGGGGGTTTTGCTAACCTCCTGACTTCCTGTTGGTCAAACCTCCCCAACTTCAGCAGTCTGTTTGTGTGTTTTCCCTTTTTCCGGGGTACCAGTGCCTGGTTGCTCTGGTCTCAACATTTCACCACCATCAGAGTCACCCCCAACGTGGTAGGCAAAAGGGAAACTACCCCAGTCTGACCTTGATAAGCCCAGAAACAGTCACTCACTACCTGCGTGGATTGGCCAAAAAATGTCCTAAACCCAAAAGGCGACTGAAGTCCACAAACTTGGGAAGTGAGGTCACATGACCGAAGCCCAGTCCCCGCGCTTCACGGTCGTCTCCTCCTCTCGGTCAACGGAGTCGTGCAGCAGCTCCGAGTTCGGCCGCCCCGGGCGGGCGATTTCCAGACGCGGCAGCGGCTGAGGTCGCGCCAGCCAGTGCCGGCCATCCACTTCCTTCACCTCAGCTACACACCAATTTTCTGGAGCCTGTTGTCCGCCTCTTCAGCCTACGAACAACTGACCTTTGGATGGCTTGTTTGCCCCCCCCGTGGTTTTGTTTCCTGGCTGTGTGGGCTAGAAACTGGGGCTTGGGGATGTTTGGGGGGAACCAGACTCTGTTAATGAGCGACCAGTCGTGTTAGGGGTGCGCCAGTTATTCGGGGACCTCGGCTTGTAGACGGCCTTGTGAAATTGTCATTCAAATTTGGTGCAAACCACACATATCCGCCACATGCTCCCGCAGATTTGGGGGGGGGGGGGGGTGATCTCTGAAGCACGTGGCAATGAGACACCAAAGCGAAGTTTTTCACAAAGCCTTCCCGTGTGATTACAGCCCAGAAAGTCGGATTCATCATTGCTCAGGTTGGCGCCCAAGTCGTGGACGGTGAAAGCGTTCATGCCGCCGACATCGGCAGCCAAGCGCCACGATTCTGATGGACAATCGATGTTCTCCCCTCTTGTTGCTGACCTCTTCCACCAGTGGGGCGTTCGAATTCGTGTTCCGGAGCTGTCCGCGAACACTTTCAGGCAATTTCAGTAGAGGGCCGAAGAGCTCCTTCCGTTCTTGAAAAAAGCCCACGGCCGCCTACACACCGTGTACCAGGTGGTTTGGCTTAAACGTCAAATTCGTTGACCTGAGTGCAATTTGCACTCAAACCAATTCCAGCACAAACAACTTAAATGTAGACAACACCCAGCAACAAACACGCAAGGGACCCCATCTCTGCAGACCCCATGGAGTTTGTGCAAAGCCCCTTTCGCCGTGGGCCCTCTAGCGCTTCGAGAGTTTTTGCGCCAGGTCCCTTCTCTTCTGGGCCTTTGGGGCCGGAGTGACATCCTCAAAACTGGGCGGTTCTGACTTTGATCTCCTGCTGAAAGTCGAAAACTTTTGAGTGTTTTGATGAAACATACAACTCAATCCGAAACTGCAAACCTAAGGGGATGGCTGGGAATCCGGGCCCAAGCTGAATGATTGTTTGATGCCCCAAAAGTAACTCGACCCCTCAAAATCTTCAGAAGGGATCAGTAATCGTGACTCCCACCCAAAGTACAAAGTCTCTTCATCTTCCATTTGGTTAAGACCCCCGGACAAGAAATAAATCCAGTGAGAAGTTCCTTTTTAAAGCCAACCAGGGAAAATAAGACATATTCATTTCAGCAGATGGAAAGCATGGCACTCGCCGCAACTCGGACATCGAAGCCGCCTTGAGCGAGGACGACGCCAGGGCATCCAGGACATCTTGCTCGCTGGCGCGGTGCACGTCGCGAACTCGTGGGCACGACCTCGAGCGGTGGCTCGTGGACCGAGAAACGCGGTGAATTCAAATGGCCGCCTGTACCCCCCGGTGAACATCCCAATCAAAACTAAAATGGGTTCCAAAATGGGTCCAAAATGGTTTTGACCCACAGCCAAATGGCCCTCTCGCAAGCTGGAAGCGGTGAACAAGAGTGGATGAACACAATCCCGCCTGGCAGCTGGATTATCCCAGTCTCATCCCTGCAAAGTTGACTTTTGTCAGGCTTTGAAGCGGCCAACACAGGTTCCCCCCGTTTCGGATTCTAATGTCCAAACGGATTGCCCTGAGAGCAAGTGGCAAGGAGAAACTCCCGTACCCCAGTGAACATCCCAATCTAGTGAACATCCCAATCTCCACCAAAATGGACTAAAATGGGTGGTGCACCAATCCCCCAAAATGGTACCAAAACGATTTGGACAACCACAGCCAAGTCATTTTTTGGTGGCACCAACCGACGACCCCGCCAGGTCGGGCGTCAAAATCCGTCGCTGGGGGCGTGGCATGATGTAACAAAGCTCCAGCCAGCCGGGCTCAGGCTCTGAGGCGATCTTCTCCTGGAAGAACCAGTCCCTCTTCAGGTTCTTGTCCTGAAAACCCAGAACCCCAGGTGGAAAACCCATGAAAAACAGCAAACACCCACAAAAACAGGTTGAAAGCCCACAAAAGTCAGGGAAACCCCGTGGGAAACCGGTAAAAACCCAGGGAAGGCCTTCTCCATGCAAAAGCTGTCGGACGAAGCAACACCTTTGGGGGGAAAGAGTCATCTTCCTGGGGAAAAGATCTATTTGGACCCAACGCAAGCATGATATGGCTATGAATTTTCATAAGGGACCCTTTGGTGGACATTATTTAGGTGGGGATTCATGTCCACCAATCACTTTTGAGGTGGTTCCCTATTAAAATTCATGGCCATATGTTTAGCGAAACCTCCCTTTGGGGAGATATTTGTTTGGGCGTCCATGTTGATTTTGCAGAGGAGATATCATAAACGAGTTGGCGGATTCTGGCCAGGGCTTGCCATTTCGGAGAGGAATTCACCCTCGGGCTGCACCAACCTTGAATTGCCCCGCCTTGGCTTCCGTATTCCATTTGAAAGGAAGCGATCCATTGAGCCTGTGAGGTTCACAAAAGCGACAAAGTAGGCAACTTCCGACGTGCTGTTTCCAGATAGTCGTCGTCTGACTTTGGACGTTCAGACTTCGGGGTGATCTATCAAAATTTACCAACCCCAAAGGCTCCCTACCAACTTGCAACAGTTCAGCTTCAGTGGCAGAAGGCAAACACATTGAAGCCAATAAATGGACACGACCGGTTGCTCACACCCCATGTGAGGGGTGCCCCAAGAATTGTGATTGTGATTTCCCCTTTGGATTCATTTTAAAACCGCCCAGAATGGGCAGCCACAGCCCATTTAGGAGAATAGCGGGGCCCCAAGAACCGCGGTTCTTTTGGACCACACAAAAGGGTAGGTTACAGGAAGGCCCCAAGACTTGCGGTTTCCCTTTAGGATTCCCTGAAAAACCACCCACAAAGGTTAGCTTCCAAAAGAGACACACACACACACACCCACTTGAGTCATAATCAAAACCCCCAGAAGCATGTAAAGAATTAACAAGGCGGATATCCGCAGCTATTTACGGCAAGGGGATGGTCCTTTACTAGTCTTCATCTACCCGGGTTTTGATTGCGGCTCACTTGGAGACAAAGCCAAGCGCTCGTGCAGCCCGGGTCTCCGAGAAGTAGAACTCCACCTGTCGCCGCAGCACCTGGGACACTTTTTGGGAGTAGGTGAGCCCTGGATGACATCGACAGGCGCCTAAATACTTGGAATGGGGTCAGGTGGTTAGATTAAAGCCAAACTAAGTCATAACCCTAGATTGTTTAGCCAAACCGAGTCATGACCATAGAACAATGTGGTCTGAAAGAGGTCCTTGTAGTGTTTACTCTTTTCTGCAAAACATCCCCCCCGTGGCTCACATGCAAGAAAAGCACTCGCACATCCTCGAAACAGTTGGGGGTTTGGCTTACTAATTTTGGTGCCCCTGCTTCGTTTAGTTGTTTGTGTGTGTGTGTGTGTTCATCTGTGTTTATGGCTGTGCGTTGCTTGTTTGCGTGCGTGTGTGGTTGGTGTTCACAAACAACTTTATGTAGCCCCAAAGTAATTACTGGGCTGTCCTCACATCCCCTACTAAAAGTTTAGCTTTTAGTAATTAAATGGAACCCGCCGGGTAAACCCAGAAAACAGAAAAGCCTACAACCAAGGGATGTGGGTGTGGGTCAAATATAGGGTGACTTTTAACCCCAAAATGGAACCCATCCCTTGGTATTTTGTGTTACGCACACCTACATGACCCGCTTCCCAGGACCTTTTTGGTAGTGAAATCGATTCCCTTGAAACCAACAGGGGAAAATAGCGCATATTCCTTTCAGCAAAAGTGAAAACATCTACAATGAAACCCGATGTTTGGTTTTCAGGTTAAAAACAAAAAACAAAAACGGAACACAAACCCATCTAACCATTCGCAAATGGAACCCGATGAAAATGCGTGAGGTCCTCGTCCCGGTTTTCTCGCTGGCCGCTTTCAGCTGTCAGGGCGCCCGCAGGAAGTGGCCCCGCGCCGCGCGGCTGTGCAGTTCCAGAGCCTGCGGCGCCTGAGAAAAACCGCCGCCCAGCTGGCCCCTAGGAACTCATTTCCGCGAATTGCAACGAACAAAGTCAGACAACTTGGATTCAAAATCTGGTCCAAACAAAAAAATGAAGTCCAAGCTCGGGACCTCAGGCAGTGAGGCTAAACGTGGGATACTCCACCAACGTCATGGATGTCTCTGTCAGTCAGGGGCTTTGAGGGTTTTATGCATGTCTCAAAGCGCGGGCCTCCAGCCGCCGGCGTTTGGCCGGCACGTCGTCATCTTCCGGCAGGCCAGCCTTGCGGACACTTGGAGCAGCAAAAAAGAGCTTCTGGGCTGCCCTCAGATCCCCTGCGAAAAGCGACTCACTTTTAGTGGGTGAAACTTGGAAACCCAACCACTAAACACTAAAAGGCGAACAAGCTAAGGAACCGGATGGCTGGGAGAGCCAGCAAGCTTTGGGGGTGCCCTGGACACTCCAAGAACCATTGGGCAGGCTCAAGCCTCAAATCTGTTCCCCCAACAGCATGAGCTTTTGGAGCTCATCATCCCCGGTACGCGGTCCCTGGTCGGCCAGCAGCCGGGCCCGGCCACTGGGGACGACCGGGGAGCCCTGATGCAGGTATTTCCAACCTTGGAGATTATTTGAGGGAAGAGGTTGACGCTGCTCACAAAGGGGTCCGGAAAGTTCAACAAACTCCCCATCTCCTTCTGGTTTCCTTTCGGATAGAAAAACACCTGCCCTCAAAGGTCCCGGTTCCTCGGTTCTTTGTGAGGCTCCAAGGGCCCATGGGTCGGGTTCTCCATAGGACCCTTGAGGGTCATGACGCTTCGGGCCAGGGCTGTGGAAAGCGGAAGCCATGTCTGTGATACAACGAAAAGGGCCGAACCCCTTAAAGACTTCTTCCCCCATGCTGTGGATTGTTTTTCATGGTTTCAAAGGGGTGCGAATTGGATTTCGTCCACCCACAGTATCAGCGGGGAGATTCGACAAAGGTATCACAGAAGTGGTTGGAGAAACGCCGAGTGATCTAGCCCCAGTTGAAAGCTATGGGGTCTAAAACCCATAGGCGATCAGCTTGGTGCTGTGGGGCAGCTCAGGGCCATATGGCCATGGGTCAAAACCCCGTACCCCCAGTGAACATCCAACACTCCAACCACTAAAATAGGCTCTAAAATGGGTGGTGAACTCACCTACCCCAAAATGGGATCCCATTGGTGTTGACCCACAGCCATATGGGTGTAGCTCAGAATTAAACAGGAGGGGCAAACCGCAGGTGTACCAGGGCAACCCATTTTGGAATTCCGCTTTTTTGACCCACAGCCATATGGACGATTTTCGGGTTATCCGCCGACTCCGCCTCAGCTTCCTTGACGAGCTCCGCGTGCCCTGCGAGCGCCTCACGGAATTTTCGGAGCGCGAGGTGTGGTGAGGTACCCTCGGCCTCAGGTTGCCTTCCCTTGAAAAACCAGGGCTTGGTTGCTTGGGTTTGGAACACTCCCCCCCCGCAAAAAAAAAAGAAGAAGAAGCAACAACATGGCGTCATTTTGATGTTCCCTTTAAAACCAAGGTGAAAGGTCGGCCTTCCTCTCATTGTTGGTTTGGATTGGTGGTTGGGCGGTTGGGCTCTACAAAAGCCAGGGCTTCAAATCCAACCACCAACAAAAATAAAGGGATACCTGATGACACAAAGTCCTGGCACATTTAATTGCCAAACTGGCCCAAACTGAAAAAGTCAGAAGTCCAGGACCAAAAAGAACGCTAAGGGACTCCTCCCAGTACTGGTAAGGGGCCTTCATCTTGCGTAAGCTCGAAACACATACAAACCCAAAAGGGATGGTTGTCACCAGCCAGGCTTTGGGGGTTTCGAATGCACCTCACCTGACGCCCATCAGCAATACCACAGCGATTCCATGCAATCAAAACACCGCACTCTGGAACCGACTTGAGAAACCAAGGGGGGTGATCCCTTGAAAGCCGCATGCACCGCCAATCGCCAGCTACAGGGCTCGATCCTCTCATTTGTTTTACTGGATGCCCTCTGTGGGGTCGGACAGAAAATCGATTGCCAAAGGTCCTGTTGGAACCTTTACTGAAAGCAGACCAACCATAGGTGGCCTTTTGGAAAAAATAGATGGCCCTGGGAAATGGAATAATCCCCATCTAAACCCGGGCCCTCTATTTTCTAAGCAAACCAACCAAAAGTGAAGTCAAAAGGTGAAAAGGTCGGCTTCTGGGCAAGTGACACAGTGAGTAAAGGGAAACAAGACGCCATTTGGGGGTTTGCCCATTGGAGATCACGATACCCATGCAAACCCGTGAGAAACAAAAGGTGCAATCCACGCCTCGTCGAGGTCATCGTCATCCCTGACCCGCCAGCGAACAAAGCCTTCAGCCTGGACAAATGGAATGCGAGCCTCTCGCAGGTAGAATCCTCTGTCTACCTACTACTACTCAAACAGCACTCTCTTCAACACCTTGGTGCCAAAATGATCATTCTCCCGAAAAATGACCAAGCGCGACCAAAAAGGGAGCAGCAGAAAGTTTCCAGTATGTGTGGCCCAATTGATACAAATTCACACCTGAAGAAACTTCATGTGTGAGCTCCTTGGAGCATTTGCCCAAAAGCATTCCGCGCAGCGCCGTAAGTCTCACGCTCCTGTGCCTCCTACTTTTGAGTGCCGAAGCCGCCGTGGCGAAATCGATTTTCTCACGGACCAGCAGCTTTTTCAATCGCTTCCCTTTTTCAGAAGCTATGGGGGACGGTCGGCATGGGCAATCGGAGTGTCTCGTTGAGGTTACATCCTTTGAGTGGCTGTACGGGAAACCGAAGGCGAGACCACTTTTGGGTTCCCGATTTTGAGAGAGGCTAAGCAAATGCTAAGCAAGACCCCAGGAAACTGTTCTATGTCACATGGAAGACCTTAAGCCATCCATCGCCCGCTGATTGAGTGCTTCCAAAGATATTTTCCAAAGGAGTTGTGTTTCCTTCTTGGTTGCCGGCCAAAATGGGGCCCCTATTTTTGGCACACCCCCTCCCAGAATGCCTAGCAACCATGTGTTGTTTTGGCAAGCCATGTGCCCCAGAATCGGATCGGAACCCTCTTTTGATTACATCTTTTAGGAAAGCGACCGAGCGCCAAGCCTATGCTTTGTCCAGACACTTTAAAGCTGTCAGAGTTGTTTGAGGGAAACTTTACCCAAAACAACAGTCAGATTTGCTGGGGGAACTTTGCTCAAAAGAAAGTCAGAGGTGCTGGGGGAAAACTTTACCCCAGAAAGAACAGTCAGAGTTGCCGGGGGAAACTTTACTAACTAAAATTCCAGGTTGCAGGGGGGAAAACTGTACCCCAAAAAGAACAGTCAGAGCTGCCAGGAAAAACCTTTGCCCAAAAGAATCTCAGAGGTGCTGGGGGAAAACTGTACCACAAAAACAACAGACAGAGTTGCCGGAGGAAAACATTACTCAAACGAAAGTCAGAGGCGCTGGGGGACATTTTATCCCAAAAAGAACGGTCAGAGTTGCCGGGGGAAAACTGTACTCAAAAGTACGCAAAAGAAAGTCAGAGGTGCTGGGGGAAAACTTTGCTCAAACGAAAGTCAGAGGTTGTTGGGGAAAACTTTACCCCAAAAAGAAGAGTCAGAGTTGCCAGGGGAAACCTTTACCCAAAAGAATCTCAGAGGTGCTGGGGGAAAACTTTGCCACAAAAAGAACAGACGGAGTTGCCGGGGGAAACCTTTGCTCAAACGAAAGTCAGAGGTGCTGGGGGAAAACTGTACCCAAAAAGAACAGCGGGGGACAAACACTTTTCCATGGCCAATAGGGAGTCGCTGCTTCTATTTTCGCCAGTAAACCAAGCTTGATCCGGCACGCCTCCATGGGAGGTTCGAAGCGCCGGGCAAAGGCGGCGATGACCTGACTCAAAAGCCACACCGCTGCTTCAATGCAAATCTCAAGTCTCCAAAAGGCAGCCCGGAAAAACAACACCTAGAACTTGGTTGACGTTGGAAGGGGAGCAAACAATTAAATTTTAGCAGTTAAGCGGATTTGGATTTCAAACTAAACCACAATAAGCAAAAAAACGTGTCAATGTTTCCCACGTAAAATGTTTCCCAACAACAACCATGAAAGCAACCCCAAAGGCTAACCTCAAAAAAAAACGCCCCCAGATTCGGATTCATCGAGCGGCCGCAAGGCTCTTGTCTTCGGCAGGCAAAGTCTGATGCCCGAAGCGCTGAAGGACACGCTCTCCACACACCTCCTACGCCGTCAACACGTGGCGCCCGCTGACTCTGCCAGGGGGGGGCCTGCTTGGTGTTGGTGGGTATTTGTTTTTCAAATTTCCTGGAGACTTGTTCTGAGAACTTCCTGGGGACATCAATGATAGATTCTTGGGACAAAAGGAAACAGAGCACCGTGTCGGTTTTCCGTGGTGTGTGAAAGGCACACCGGCTCTTTTAGAGCAGTTTGTCTCAATCCGCACCACAAATTGTCCTTCACATGCCCCTCACCTGCCAAAATAGTGACCATCAGCCACCGTCATGCCACAACTGTGAGATTTGGTACGCGGTTCTCTTACCTTTTTTTTTTTTTATTTTATTTACTTATTTGCTCTTTTCTTTTGGGGGGGCAGTAGATCCACCCTGCACCTTCTCGGACCCAAACCATCGATTTGCGCCAGCACCGCAAATGCTGAGGGCCTTCGCGCTATCGCAAGGGTCTGGTGTGTTGGTACAGCCCAAGGCCATTGCCAAGCGACCCCGATGTTGAGGCCAAGAGGTGGGAAACTTTGGGACCAGGCTCAGGTTGTGATTGAAGCATGAGGGCCTCGCAGTTGAAATGATGGCAACAGTTCAAAAGCTGATGTGCACATATAATACACGTGTGCTCCTTTTGGGAAACCTTTTGGAGTTTATCAAAGGAGTTCAGAGGGGTGCCCTATTTAGCCAGGGTTTGTCTCAGGATAGGGGGAACCTGCAAAGTCGGTCGTGTCCTTTTTGGTTTTCCTAAAGCATAAAAACAAGAAGAAAAAAAACTACCCTGTCCAACCCTTGGTATTGGTATGGCAGCAAACACTTCGCTTTGCAGCCTTCTACTAAAAATGAACAGACCAAAAACGAAACACCTGAAAACAGATGCCAACAACACTGAGGTACCCTCAAGCAAAACGACACACACACACACATACACACATACACACACACACACACACACACACACACACACACACACACACACACACACACACACACACACACACACACACACACACACACACACACACACACACACACACACAGACACACACACACACACAACACACAACACACAACACACACCACACACCACACACACCACACACACCGCACACACCGCACACACCGCACACACCGCACACACCGCACACACGCACACACGCACACACGCACACACGCACACACGCACAC